GGTGATGTCACCATTGCGTGTGATGGTGCAATGCACCAGAGACTTGAGAGCACACTTGTTGCACACGAAGCGCATGGCGAGGTGCGTAGTTTGACGGCCCATTCTTTGCAAAACCTCAACGCAAACCATTTTATTGTCCCCCTCATTTTAAATTGTGGAGCTAAGCGATGCCACCTGGTTTCCAGATATCTGACGCATTTTTAAATAGTAGAGTAAGACATACTCCAGAATCTACGCCGCAGCTACCTGCATGAAAGCTAAAATCGAAATAACTCACACAAACACATGTTTGCTCATTCCTCAGTACAACCCATTCATTCAGCATATGTTCGTTAGACGTAAATCACATGGGACTAGAGGCAAATGAAGAAAGCATTTACAGTCACTCTTCTGCTGCAGTTGGTGGGCATGTAATTGTGCGTCGCCTTCATCCGTTCCCCCACATATGGGAGTTGAGCGCACATTCTGTTAATTCATACAGGTTTCTCAGCTCTCTGCTTCACGTTAGAATATTCACAAAGCTTTATCACCTTATAAATACTTATTCACTGTTTTGAGATAGGTGATGCTGCTTCTCACGAACACCATCGCTTTTAATGAACTATTTTTATGCAAAATAACCCTCTTTAAAGTTTACTTTAATTTTGCTTTTAATTGTCACATTGAGCAATATGGAGAGGACTTTCTCGCCTGCCAAGTTATGCGAAGCAGGCAGAAAACGAGGAGCAGACACACTGGCATGCACCAAAGCACAGCCTACATGGTAGGTGCTTTGGCACGCCGACCAACCAGGAGCCGCCACTGTTAGCAGTCGTAGTGACAGCGAATAGTGAGGGAAGAAACTGTCGAATCAAGCAGGTGCTAGACGCGGATTGGCCCACTTCGACCTTGTAGTCACAATGCAACATGCATTTATACACCAGAGACGCGCACCCATTCTTTAGTGCATAAGTAGTTTTCTTCGACGTTTCATTGCGACAATCAATTGATACGCCGTATGTTTCCGATTTTTATTTAAATTTATTTCTTGGTTATTAAAAGTGAAATTATTCTTTTCTGTGATTGTCAACAGTGACGTCGAATGTACGCACGGCGAGTTTACAAAAATCCACTCTTTTTATTTCTCACACTTCATTTCGACATGTGTAACTCTAATATGCAGTGATCTATTGCTACGCTTCACAACGGACTGTTGTTCTGTTTACTAGACAATTTACGTCCTGACCCTTCCTATTATCACTTACATAGGCTTGCTGCATTTAGAAACTGCCAATTTTCTTCCTTCCCTTAGATGATAGCGTCACAGACGAGAATGAGGAGACAGGAGGCAGTTGCCACGTCATTTTTGCCGTGTTTAGTGGATTGTGTATTCACTGTAAGCGAATAAACCTATTAACCTTGACCACTATTTCACCCCCCAGATGTCTTGTTCCAAAACTCAGCGCACCTTCTTCAAGGACCTGCAGCAACTCTACAAGACCATCGAAGCCTCGACGGATGGTCAGGCGACCATCTTAGGAATCGACGAGATGTCAGTTAATGTTTCGCTGAGACCCAAATCGGGCTGCAACGCGCATGCAGAATTCGTTTTAAACGTAAGTGCTTTTCACAGCTCATGCAGCCCTACATTAACCGACACATTTCTCACGATATTTGTTTAAACTGTAAGTATTACCATGTTGGTGATATTGCTGTGTATTTGGATCAAACTAGATGCGCTTAGAAGTAACTGCAAGGAAATAGCTCTATCTGTTTGAAATTTATTAAACATCCCCCTGAAAACATTAAATTACCCTATCAAAAGCAGCAAACTGTAAAACAAGTCGCAATAGTGCCTATGCGTTGGGTATTGCAATAATCATGTTTCATCGCGAACAGGAGCCAATAGCTTTCGACTCCCTATCACAGAGTTTCGCATTCTGAGATTAATGCGCCTCGTTGATGGTAATTACGTGCAGTCATACTTACACTGTACAGTTCCTATGAGAACTTGTTTCAAAGAATTAAGGCAAAAGTGGACTGACCGTTTATGAGAATTTATTTTCGACTTAATTGAGTGAAAAATTGTGCAAGTCACTTGCACTGGTTTTAGGTGGCTATAAGTGTCGCATAATGTAAATAACGCAGACAAATAACTGCCTTCAGAGCTGTTCTTGTTAAGATAGGCATGAGTCACAAAATAGGTACTTTTGATGGGCCCATCTCAGCATGTTTTGATGCACTGTTTGCTACTCAAGTTAACTGTGACAAGTACAATCTCACCGTTTACCACTGAGGTCATGCAATCTTGTGAGGACGATGCTCACTAGAAGTCGCTGGACCAATAACTTTTGTAAAAGATATGATTTCATCCTAATTATTCATTCAAATGTTTCGTAGTTCCTAGAAAGGAGTTGAAGGGATTTGCTACACCTATTTCAGATCAAGTGTACTTCTT